CTATCGAAAGATTACCTAGGAAAGAAGTAATTTTATTTTTAAGCAGCACAGAACATTAGCTTGAGCTTCTGTTTGAGAATTAACGTTAGGTCCTAAGCAAAATAAAGAATTTTCGGTACTTTTCTGTTATCGGGAAGGGATTCAGAAATTACACATGCGTATGTACATGTGTGTGTATGTGTATATGTACGTACATGCACGCATATATGCACACATACATTTCTGAGCTGGTGCCGATAACAAAAAAGCATCCAAATATTTTAGATGTTGAACAATTTTCTCTTTTCAATTTTATTCCAAATCCAATTAAAAAATTTAAAATTCTGCTTCTAGTTACAGGTTCCGTCGCTCTACCACAATGCCGACCTTATTTTCTGTTTAGCACAAAAAGCCTCTTCGTCTCGAAAAACGATTTTGTGTTGATTCATTTTTTATGTCATCCACTGTAAATGCATTGTTTCACTTTTCATTCGAGTCTGTTGCCATTCGGCAAAATGTAAGAATGTCTATTATTAATTAAAAAATAAGCTATTTAAAAACAATAGACGCAGTTCTTAAGTTAGACAATAGATGCAGTTCATTTTTTATTTCTTTTTTAATCGGACTGATTTAAAGAAAAATGTATTTAATTCATGATATATCTAAACTTTCAATACTTTTACAAAATTATATTATTTATTGTTAAACTCTTCAAATATGCCGAAGACATGTAACGTTTCCATTTTAATCTACATGTATATTCATCTAGCATATCTTATAAAATATTTCGCTATTCCACCTGAGCCGATAACATTTCCTTTAGATTATCTTAAAACTTTTAAATAGCCTTTTTGGACAACCGTTAAAATATCAGCCGCCTTTTTTTTTTTTTTTTTTTTTTTTTTTTTATTATTGCATCCTTGTGGTCTAAAAAATGCCAGCTTTGTGCTATTCCCAATCTGAGAAATATCTCTTGATGCAAACAATTTATCAATCAAGATTTAACTCGTCTAGACATGAAAATTAATTGATGGATAGACGCACGTGTGCTGTACTGAAATCCAATTCCCTAATTATCTTCTGTTTTCTGGATTAAAGACAAAAAAAAAAAAAAAAAAAAAAAGAAAAGAAAGAGAGAACGGAAAGAAATATTTTGAATTTTAATCTGAGCTTGATACACAATTAGAGTTTGGATTGTCAATAATAATTTAAACATTTCTATAGATAAGAACACCCCAGTGACTTTCTGGTGAGTAAAGTAACAATACAAGTAAGAAAAACTATACATAGCTATTCTTTCGCTCCTAGTAAAAAATCGCTTTACATAAAGAGATAATTAATAGCGAAATTGGCAATTACAGCATTTAGGGAGAGATGCGAAAAAAAATCATCGTTTAAATCCTTTTATGGAGCTTTTTCCCTGATTAATCCCTGAGATTAAAGCATTTTCCCTACGTCTGATTCCCCATAGGCATGTTACCAACCGTCCTCCGTGAGGATAATAATTTCCAACTACCGGGTGTGCACAATGTTCCGACTCCCCCCTTTCTTCTCTCTACCTCTTCGTCCGTCACACGCTCGATGTGGGGGGAAGCAAATGGGGCGCGTGGGCAAGGGGAAACCGGTCCCCCTTCCCCCTATTCTTTTTTTTCAGTTGTTTACACTGCGAGCCCGCTGTTTAGTTCCTTCTCTCAGAACGGGGCGGAGTTTTCCCACACTCGCGCGCATGCGCTTTTCGATAAAAAGTCCGCCACGTGCTACTACTACAGCATATGTCGCGATTTCGGCATCGTCGGGAGGGGGATTATTCCAGGCAAGGGGGGTCGCATTTGATTGGAGATGGTGGAAGTAAGGTGAACTTGCGCTACACAGGGTTGCCATGGTTGGCGATGCATCGCTTTTGTTTATAATCGGGTTAACAGTGGTTTATTTTAACTTAAGGATTAAACGGATGCACACAAATGGAAAAATGATGGCATGCTAAAACAATGGTTTGTTTACATGTTTATGCTGCAAATGTGCGATTGATTTATTATTAATTAATAAAATATGGGCAACAATCCTTTGGAAGTAATGCGTATTCTGACATTTGTCGCAAAATGCTGTATAAATTCAGTTTTGTGATAAATTCTTTTTTTTTTTATACCTTAACTAAAGTATTTTGAATCCCTTCATGAATAAAATAACGTCATTTCATATTTCAGGGACCGTTACCTTTTATATTTCTAAGTATTTATGCAATACTAAAGAGTTACATCAATGATATACAATAAAGCACGGTATGAAACAATTACGCATGCTTGAAAAATCGTGTTTTCGTCTACATCGTTATATAACGGCTTCTTGTTCAGATTTAATTGGATTTAAATGAATTCTTAATTGTTGAACCAATTTAATCGTATTTTTTAATAGATTGGAATCACTGCCAGCTATTATTTGCAGTTACAGTAATAAGATTATATGATTTATTTGGTTGATGATGATACCGTGGTTTATCAACATAATTTTAAATAACAGTTGTCAATGATGTCGATTAAAAATACTACTTTTTCAATATCATTGCTAGTTGTGGCTATTATAAAACTGTTATAAAAGTCAGTTGAAAATTCTGATTTTTGGTTTTATTCAGCAGAAAATTTTTCAAAAGTTAAATTTTATTTTTTGACAACAGTGGCAATTTTTATTTATTCTTTTTTTAAGAGAATGAATTTTTATCAGCGGCGTTTCCCCGCCATTTAGAATCCAGCTATCAATGTTTTGGAAATCATAACTTTTGACAGAAATCTCTACTCATATTTCAGTTTTTATAAATTAACAGCTTTTAAAACCTCAAACTCGATAAAAAGTATTTTATTTAATTTATTTCTTATTTATTTATTTTTTCTATACGTTTTTTAGGGAAGACAAAAGCAGATCTGTGGGGAGGGGAGAAACTACTTTAAATACGAAAAATTTTGCATTAATAACTGCAGAATTATCCAACGATTTGAAGAATTTTCCAACATTTAAAGAGGCACATTCTTATATTTCATTTAATTGCATATAGCACTATAATTATTTTAATTTTCCTTTTCATTTGAATACCTACTGGCCTCTTAAATTAGAATGTAATACCTAAGTTTTGTGATAACATTTATAATTTTTATGTGACTGGTGTAAAAATCTCAAAATGGATCATTTTAGACTTAAATTTTTATACCCATAATTTTTGGTTTTAGCAATTTTTTTTTTTGCTAAAAAATAGGTTTTGGCAATTTTTATACCCATAATTTTTCTTTATTTGTTTATTTACTGCTAATGTTAGTAGTACTCTTTCTCTGGAACGGGGTCTCTATAACAATAGAAACACCTTTCAAAGCTGTCAAAAAGTATAAGCTTAAAAAAATTGTTACTTTATTAAACTTTGAATTAACTGAAAAAAATATTAGTAAAATACAACGTTTTTAAATGATTTGTTTCATTACTTAAATGTTGATTTGAATTAGTTTTCTAAAAAAAAAAAAAAAAAAAAAAAAAAAATATATCACTGATAAGTACCTTTTCTTATAAATACATTAAATAATGTTGTATAATAGTTATAACATGATTAAAATACTTTACATAACTTATATTCTACTAAATGTCCTAATAAGGAAAGAAAATTAAAAGCGGTTATGTAATAATTAAAGGATAATATAACGTTTAATTTAAATTATATAATTGTAAGAAATCTTAGTAAAATTGTGTTAAACTGTATACAAATTGTTTTCCTAATAAGGAAATTAAAAGTGGTTATATAATGTTTATTTCAGTTATGCAATGATTAAAATTTCTGTAGAGGAAGAAAATTAAAAATGGCTGTATAATGATTACATAATAATGAGAGCGATTATGTAATGGCTAATTTAATACATGTTTAATTTGTGTACTATTTTATAATCCTACAAAATCAAATTAGCTTTTTGGAATCTAACTGAAATTTTGGAATTTCAGTTAAGGTTCCAAAAACTTTACAAACAAATACGCTGTTGTTATATTCTCTCCCCCCCCCAATCTTGAGTAAATCAATTGTTATTTTTACCAATTACCAGTTATTTTACAAGTCCTAACTACTTTTTTTTTATTTTAATATATATCTATCTAAAAATTTTTCTTGTCAGTGCAGACCAGTTTCTTGTCAATAGACAGTTCTAATGAGTTATAAATACCTTTTGTATAATCCTTTTCATTAGAAATATATTATATCATTTACAGAACTTTCCTTGGATTGTTATTTTGAAGTTTAATATAAAGTATCTTTTCCTAGAACATAAGGACAAGGCTTTATTTTTCTCATTTCTAAAATGTCCCTGTTTATTTTCATTATTTTATTCCCTTTATACAAAAGGGCTTCCGGTCCACGATCAACTCGATCAGTTCCCACGCTGCCTCAAAACAGCTGCCACTCTTTCATTCAACAACCACAACACAGAAAAACTGCTTTAAACATAAGTCCATTCAAGAGTTAATAAGCCAACAACAGCAGAATGAAAAAAAAAAGTCCCCAACCATTGCTAAATGAAACTTTTTAATTGCAACCTGTTATGCTAAAAGAAACCATTGATCTAGCAAGTTGTTCCAGCAATTTGTTTCCTGTCGCATAATAAAATTGACGGAAAAAAATGTAAATCACTTTTAGATAAAAAAATATATATATATTGAGCATTTACATGGCCAAATTCATACTATTTATTGCATTTGGAAACATTTAAAATCATTAAACATTTTTATATTACATTTCAGTTGACACTGGCGTTAGGCGAAGAAATCAAATCTTGCCAAATCTTTAGGATATTGCCAAGAACTAAAAATGGCACACCTGTTCACGCGTCCGCTTGCTTATCGCCCCACGTGTGGCAACCCTGGAATCGAGCCACATGTCCGTCGCGAGCCAGAACACGAATGGAGCCTTCCGATTGGTCGAGAGGCCTGGGATCGTACCGTGGGAAAGTGAGGCTCGACACGCTCTCAGGATCATGGCTGGCTGACCCTACGTAGCAATAAAACTTACTACCCGACCCCAAAATTCCCACACTTCTGCTTCGGCACGTGTTCTGATCAGACGTATTTCGCTCTCTCGCTCTTTACCTCTCGCGTTCCGTCAGTGTTGCTTGTGACATTGCTATAGATTTGTGTTTACATTGAGTTGCTGGCTTACCACCACAACCAAAATGCCTTCAGAAAAGACAGTGACAAAATCTAGTGAAACTCGAAGGGTAAGTTTCTGTTTATTTTTGTCACATTTTACTGTTTATGCTGAGAATTATTGTTTTTACCTGCTAAATGTTCCAACACTTGTATTATGGCAATGTAACTTACGATTGCTTATCTTTTGTTTTTTTAGAGTACCAAACCCATTATGGAAAAACGAAGGAGGGCTAGAATCAATAATAGTCTTACTGAACTCAAGAACCTCATCTTGGATGCATTAAAAAAAGATGTAAGTATTGATCTTTGATATTGTAATCCTTAATTTTCTTGAACTATTATTTGCATGCAGCAGTCCTTGAAGACGATATTTTCTAAGTCTAAATATTTAAAAAAAAAAAAAAATGATTTATACTGCTTTTGTGTAAACTGAATTTTAACTCTTTAAATTGTTTAATCGGTTAAGATTTTATTGTCACTCTTTGATATATTTTAAGTTTAAATATAAAGGGAAAATGATTTATGCTGCTCTAATCAGTTAAGATTTTATTCAGTTAATCTATGATATAATTTAAGTTTAAATGTAAAAGGAAAATGATTTATACTCCTCTTGTCTAAGCTGAATTTTAAATTCCTTATTCGGTTAAGCTTTTATTCAGTTAAAAGTGTTTCTAGAATATAAAACTTTACCAAATTTAAGCTGTCAGTTTACACCTAATTTAAAATAATTTTTTAACGCTTTTTGTTGTTTTACCGTTGGATATGGAGTAACTCATGATTTTCTTCTTTTTATCTTTCCAGAATGCTCGTCACTCAAAGCTCGAAAAGGCTGACATCCTGGAGATGACGGTCAAGCACCTGCAGAACCTCCAAAGGCAACAGATGACACCTGACCCCTCAATGATGGCCAAGTTCCGTGCTGGATTCGCCGAATGTGCCAGTGAGGTCAGTCGATTCATGAGTCGTGTCGAGGGCATCGACCACACCGTTCGCCAACGATTGCTCAACCACCTTGCCAACTGCCTGACGGGTATGAACAACCCTCCGCCAACGCCTCTGCCGCCCGTTCATGTTCAGGTTGGAGGCGCCCCAGAATCAGAATCCAACTCCACTAGATTCCTTGGAGGTGTCCAGCTGGTACCTACTCGCCTTCCCAGTGGAGACATTGCCTTCCTTCTTCCTGCTCAACTATCTGTATATGCACCTTCTACTGTACCCATCAGTCCTGCCAGTTCCACATCATCCGTAACATCACCTATGTCCACCACATCATCTTCGCCGAGTCCCGTCAATGTACTTGGGTCTTCTGGAATCCTGAGCCCAGCAGCCAGTGACCGTTGCAGTCCTAGCCCTGTTATGCACACAAGAATCTGCAGCCCCAGTCCAGTTATGCATTCACGAATTCCTCAGGAGATGCCAACATCTGTGACATCGCACTGCCCTGTCGTCGTTCCAGCTATTAACCAACACAAAACAGAATCCAAACCTGTCTGGAGACCGTTCCTTTAATTTGGGACTTTTATATTGAGAATATTTGGACATTCTGCTGAAGAACTGTGTATATAGAACTGAACGTGTAAATAACTTAATATATTACGTTAATACATATCTACATGTACTTCGTGTACAGAGCTTTTCTGCCAGGGCTAAGTGCCCTGTTATATCTGTGATACTTAAGAATTCGTACCGGTGCTATGTTCAAGAAGTAGTAAGATGTCGTACTATGTATGACATGCCATTCTACGCAACCATCCATGCCAAGAGAAATAAAAAAGAATATTTTTATTGATTTTAAAATTTTGTTTGTTCACTCATACATCAGTTTTTACATGTTTGTTTACATACATTTCAGGTGAGATAAGAAGTTCTAGATCTGTTTTAACCAAATGATTTTTCAGAATTGCTTTAAATTTTTTTTTTTCACTTATGAAAGAATGTTCTTAGATTATTGCGTGTTCAGGATCCAAACACACGGTTTTATCTGTAAAGAATTAAATCCGTAAATAATGTTTAACGTCATTTACGTGAATGATTTAATATTTTGCAATTTTTGATTTGAATAATTAAGTAGTCGTATTTATCTTAATATTTAAATCAGTTATGATCAGAGGATAGTATATTAAATTACTGCTTTGAAAGTTTATTTTTTAATGTAGTTGCAGATGTTATATATGTAAACAGGCTAATAGTGTTATTTAACATTACTCTTATGCTCAGAGAATTAAAATTAGTGTCTTTAGAAATGAACACAGGAATTTTAAGTAATACAATATCCAAAAAAGATTGGATATATTTTAATATATAACACATATCTTGGCTTATATGTTAGAACATGATATTAAATAATTATGAATTGATTTCAGGCTACTGCATATCACATAAGTTATATACATGAAACATTTTGCATATTTTAAAGGAAATATTCTTTAAATTAGTATGTATTAATGTACAAAACTTACAATATATAGAATATTTTGTAAATACAACCGGAAAAAGTTTTCTATTTATAACCTGCAATAGTTAACAGGCAATACATTTCTTAGTGTAATATAAAAAAGCAAGGACAATTCTGAAATGGTCTTACAAAATTATGTAGCTAATTAACGTTTAATAATTCAAAGGAAATAAATATATTACATAAAAATCAAAGAACAGAAATACATGTAATGCAACTCCTTAGCTTCCAAATCAGTGAAAGAGTTAGCTAGCCACAGCAAGTATAAAATAGGGAAATATGCAGTGTACTGAATTATCAAGTTACCTCCATATTAAAACATTTCTTACAGGAAAGAGGATATGCTGCTACATGTTAAAAGTAAGTATTTCGAGAGTTCATGATTACCAAGTGATATAAGTAAAGAAAGGATTTTCCTAATTTAAGAAAGTGAATGAATTTTTCGATTGTTGCCAAATTAAAAGTGTGAAGGAATTAAGTACTGGACTTAGCATTTTGAATTTGAAAGATTAAATTATTTACATCCAACAACATTTAATTTTTTAAGCATATTTTAGGAAATTAATTTGTAAATAAAATTCTTAAATGTTAAAGATTTAAAACAAAACAAAAAATTTTGAGTCCATAAAGGGAATTTTTGAATTATAAAAAGCTTAAATGTTTGAATTTCATGTGAATACGAGTCAGTATCCTGAGGAAAAAAAAAAAAAAAAATTCCTCTACGACTTAGTTTGCTGTAATCCAACTCAATCAAACATATGTAGCTCGTTATTCAGACGAGAAACCTACTGCCAAAGATGCTTATGTTTATCATCTTATTTATTATTTATTTTGTTAAATTTTTAATTAAATCAAAATTAATAAATCATTAATTTTAACTAAGTACGCAATTAAGTAATTGCTATAAAATATTCACGTATTCAAAAAAAGCCCTCGCTCGCATTACTGTAAATATGTAATATACACTACAGGATAAACTGTGAGGTAAATATATATTTACAGTAAAGGAAGAGAGGGCATTTCATTTTTCCGCCTCTTGGTATTTTATTACAACAAAAATTATAATACTATACAGAAAACATTAAGCCAATTACACGGAAGAAAAAAATTGTTTAGTTGAATAAGACGACGTATGAGAGGGCCAACTGCGCAGTGGCAGGAATGAGTGGAGACTTTTTAAAGAAAAACTTCATATGTAGGTTACACATAGTCAAAATCATGAAAATACCCATGCAGCCAACCCGCCAGGATTTTCATACTATCAGTGTTCAGTAGTATTATCCACCCGTATTTCAGACTGTAGTTTAACACCTCAAAAAAAGAGTTCACCATTAAAATTTTGGAAAAGTTCAGAAACATTTTAAGCATGAAAAATCATCTTAAAAAAATGTATGGGCTGATTTTTTATACGGTCTCCACTTTAATAGCCGATGAATTTAATAACTATAAAAAGGTTTCCCGGTTTTAATCCTCAGAAGCTCAAAGATCACTGGCTGAGCGGTAAAGTCGCTGAATACTGGTAGTTCTTTCCAGGCGTACGCGTTGTATGGCATTTTCATGATTTACCGCAGGTGTAACGTAAATGAGAGCCAGCTTCCCTTATAAAGTACTCCCCTTAGGTATGTAACCATCGCATTCTTTGCCGTAATTAAAATAACCAGAAATCCGAGAAGCATATCGCTTAGGCTGTAAAAAAATTGTCGATTACATTTCCTCGTATTATTATTTTTAAATACTGAAATTTACTTCTTGTTTTTTATATGTGCTTTGTAAGAATTTCAGTAATGCGGAAGGTAGATATTGTTCTGTTGATCATATTAAATTGTTTTGCAATACCTTCTGTAAAAGTTGGATTCTGTAAGCGAGTATTAACTACTGAGTTGGCTTCCTGCCCAGGTATATAAAATAGCCTATTAGAACATCAACTATGGCTGGCTGATAATGATCTATTATTAAATCATAAGTAAAATTACGGAGTCACAGTGTTATCAAAATTGCATTATTAATACATGTGCATGCCATATAACATACATATCATTACGAAAGTTACACAGGCATACCCGAAAAACACGCTGATTGCCGTATCGAAGGGCACGGTTTCGAATCCCGGGGAAGGCGTAAATGTTTGTAAGCTTATAGTATCTGTGCGGTAAGAGGGCACTCAGAATAAACAAAGAGCTGAAATCCGCTCGACACTCGGACCGCACACCGGGGCGTTCTTCCTTAGAATTCCGTCGGGGGGCGGAAGCTTAGGAGTTATTCTGATCAGTAAAATATTTACGACGACTAGTCCGGAGATACTTAATACGCCTGCCTGTATGCACAGGTGCTGGCCTTGCTTCAACTGTACCTATTAAAATTGGGTTATAATTGTTTGTATTAATTGAAAGGTAGCAGTATAAAGTTATCACTTTAAAAGAATCCTGTATAAGAATACTAATTTGTTTTAAAAAATGTATTAAAAATTTATCTAACCGTAAGCACACACTAAAAATAATTTTGCCAGCAACAAATTCTAACTATGCTTCTTATAAATGTGATTTACGATCTCATAATATATATGCGTAGGAAGGAGGGGTGAAATAAAACGTAAAAAGATACTACAATGAAAGAAATCCGAGATTTTTTAAATGCCCCGCTTAAAACACGACATTCCTACGAGTACCAGATGTACACTGAAGTCCCCCCTCCACAAACGATTCCCTTTCCCCTAACAGGAATTCCATTGCATTTTGCTTAATCCTCACCCCATTTCCCCATCATTTTCGAAGGGGGTCAGGAACGGGGAAGGAGCCTAGACAGTCTCGGGAACCGTTCACCCTGATCGGAGCAGCTGCAAATCCTTGCTCGGTGTAAACTTCTCAAACCTGCACGCGAGCTTGGGTTCCCACGCTACGCGTGCCCCTGATTGACAGCTGCTGCTCCCCCCTAGAAGGGTGGGGAGCAACAAGTGCCCCCTAGAGCCAGCGTGGGAATCGACGACAGACGACACGAAGACCTCTTTGTTTCGATATTTTTTTTCGAGCCCTACAGGCATGGGCTCAATATCCCCATCTCCCTCGTTGTGAAATGCCGTCACAGACAAGCGCCTTTTCGTTGAAGAAGCTAAACTAGTTAATGGGAGCCGCCATTTTTGAACACGCCAACCTATGCTTCCTTTAGCCGTTCATTTAAGATTTGTCAGTGACGATTTACGTTTCTTACATGCATGCTAAATTATTTCTAAAGCACAGCAACATAATCATTAAAGATAATTCTAAGCCTAAACTAAATAAACTCGGCAGCATAAACAGGCCTTAGAGAGCCATAGCTGGCAGTGTCCTGATATCTGCTTTCTAGACCGTGAGCTCTGGGATGCTCGTACTTCTTAATCTGGACAAGTGGTCAACTTGTCGCAGGAGCCCCGGTGTTTAGTTCTCAAGCGAACTTGGTACTCATTTTATCGACCCACTCGCATGAAAGGCTGAGTCAAAAAGATAATTCAGAGTTCATAAATCACTAGCATAATAATAAAGACCTCAATTTGGAATATCGTATTCATACGTTTATGTAATACAGGATTTAAGTTTAAGAAAGCTTGGTGACAATAAAAAATGTTTTTAGCGTTTTTGATTTTCAGAAATCGATTTACTTCTTTTGCCGCCTTCTTTCTCATTTTTATGAACATGATCAGTAAAGTATTTATGAATTAATATGAAATATACATTGTAGCTTTGTCCCCCCCCCCATAAAGTCAGGTTTCAGCAATTTTTATGTAAATGAACGGGAGTACAAAATATATCGTATTAGAAAAAAAAAAATTTTTTTTTTACTTCCTTTGCGGAGTAAAGAAAGTATTTTATTCGCATTTTAATTTTAATTTTAATCGCAATAGTAATTTTAATTTTTAAAAAATTTGGGCATCACATTTTCAACAGAAATATCCATTTCAACCTTTCTCGAGTCTATTTGGACGATTTTTTTGCGTGACGTCTGTAGACACGGACAGAGTAAAGGACTCCTTTTTTAAAAATTGTATGTATGTATGTATCTCTCATAATTCCAAAACATCAAGCATAGAATGTCGAAATTTTGTATATACAACTGTTATAACATCTTTTGCATCTCCCTTTTTCATTTCAATCGGCAGTACTAGAAGTATGTATATAAATATATACTGACTTTCTTTCCCTCCCGTCTCTAAAGTCCTCAACCGGCTTTTATTTTCACATTAGTTAGTCATAGTCATATGCTTCCAATTACAGAAATGTTTTAGACGACGAAAACACTTCTGTTTTAGCAATGCCAAATATAAAAAATAATAATAAATAAATCCCTAAAAAAACTTAAAAAATAAATAATA